TTTTTATATTATTAAAATATAAATCTCAACATATATTTTAATAATAAATGAAGCACTTATAACTAATTTTAATTAAATAAAATATAATTAAAATAATAAATTTTTATAAAAATAAATTAAATATAAAAAATTATATAATTTACAATTTTTTATTAAAGAAAAAATTAATTATACTAGTTAATATATTCATTTTTCATTTAATATTGTTATCTTAGAAATTTTTATTTAAATTTTCAAATTTCGTGTTTTGGTAAGAAAAGATATCTGAATGCAGAGTGAATTACATTACTAACTAGTTAGATGCATTCTCATCTAATCTATATCAGCAGAATCTAATTTTCATCACTTTTAATTTGAATTGAATGGCCCCGCAACAATTCAGGGCTGAAGGTCTGTGATATATGCTGATGGCAGAAGTTGATGACGTTGCACCTTTCTCTAGACTTTCATATTCTAGATAAAATAACCTATTGAGAATGTCACTTAGGTATACAGGTTCCCAGGTACCCCAGCACAAAACAAATGATGGCCGGGCCATCTGGCTTTATAATGAAATCCTGCACTGGCGGTTGGGATTGTATCTGAGAGGATCAGCATTATTGAAGATAAGCATGATTGGCGTCTATTAGTGAGCCTGGCTTCAGACAGGGGTTTCTGGGCCATCTGTGTATATCTTTTGCCGGTTTGGTAGCAGAATGGAGCAGTTGCTTTTGGAATAACTCCGTGCAGATTGCGCGGATACAAGGGTTCTAGGAATATCCTAGAAGCCAGACAAGAGTCTTGGTAAACCTGCATCAATGGTTTGAGAGACCACGTTTTCTGCTACCCGTACTTGAGGCGTCCAGGGCTTGCACTGGCACGGATCAAAGACACATGTCTCTCTGGTAACTTGTTGTCATGTCATGCCCGTTCTCTGACATCAAGTACCAAGGATTTAATAATAAAATTACATTGGCCATTGGACGTAGATTTTTTTGACAGCTGGAGGACAAGAAGGAATGCCTCTGGATTTTCTAAGATGAGTCTTCAGCTAACAAAGCAACTTCTGGCCGTATTGTTGCCCCGATATGGGTCGGGTCGAATCCCTTGCAACACACCTGCTAGCTTGCTAGGGCGGCTCCAGACCCGCTTCGGCGTTGGATTTCGGCTTAAGCTTCAGAAGCTGCGGGCTAAACCGAACATGGGAGAACGAAGGATCAGTGCGCCACTGAAATGGCCCATGGGACCATCAGCCATCTCACCCCCTGCCAGCTGGTCAGTGCTCAATCATCCATTTTAAGAATTTGTGGAGGCGACGATCCAGCCGCTTAAACAACTATTGGCAGATGACGATCCCTATGTCAGAAAGACTGCTGCATTTTGTGTCGCGAAGCTTTATGATCACGACCGAAAGCTTGTGGAAAGGTCCGATTTGATCCTCCAACTGAACGACATGCTCAAGGATGACAACCCAACTGTTGTGTCAAGTGCTCTTGCGGCACTGACGGATCTTTGGGAAAGGAGCAATTCTATTACTCTTACGATTGATTATAAAAGCGCATCCAAATAATCTCCATTCTACCGGACTGCTCCGAGTATGTCGTTTTTCT